AGACCTGAGACTGGGACGGAGATTTATCTTCCAACAAGACAATGATCCAAAACATAAAGCCAAATCTACAATGGAATGGTTCACAAATAAACGTATCCAGGTGTTGGAATGGCCAAGTCAAAGTCCAGACCTGAATCCAATTGAGAATCTGTGGAAAGAGCTGTTCACAAACGCTCTCCATCCAACCTCACTGAGCTCCAGCTGTTTTGCAAGGAAGAATGGGCAGAACTTCAGTGTCTCCATGTTCAAAACTGATAGAGACAAACCCCAAGAGACTTGCAGCTGGAACTGCAGCAAAAGGCGGAGCTACAAAGTATAAACGCAAGGGGGCCGAATAATATTGCACACCCCACGTTTCAGTTTTTTATTTGTTAAAAACGTTTGACACATCCAATAAACTTAATTGTTGTTGATTCTTCACAAAAAAATTAAAATTTTATATCTTTATGTTTGAAGCCTAAAATGTGGCAAAAGGTTGAAAAGTTCAAGGTGGCCGAAAACTTTCGCAAGGCACTGTAAGTGACTACAGACATTTCCATTCTCTTGGCAAAATCCACCACCATCTATCCTTCATGGTTTCTTTCCTTGACACCAAACCTACCCATCACTTCCTCATCCCCTCTGTTTCCTTCACCAACATGTCCATTCAGGTCTGCTCCGATTACCACTCTTGCCTCCCTGGGTAAACTTTCCATCACTTCATCCAGATTCTTCAAAAAATTATCTTTCTCTTTCCCATCACATCCAACCTGTGGAGCATAACCACTGACAACATTTAGCATCAGACCTGCTACTTCTACCTTCAGACACATCACCCTATCTGACACTCTTTTCACCTCTACTACATTCTTTGCCAACTCCTCCTTCAGGACCACCCCTACTCCATTTCTTTTTCTACCCACACCATGGTAAAACAGTTTAAACCCTGCTCCAATGCTACAAGCCTTGCTGCCCTCCCACTTGGTCTCTTGGACACATAAAACATCTACCTTCCTTCTCTGCATCATGTCAGCCAGCTCTCTACCTTTGCCTGTCATTGTCCCCACATTTAGAGTTGCCACCCTCAGTCCTACTTTCATGACTCTCCTCTTCTCCCTCTGTCTCCTGACATGTTTCCCTCCTCGTGGTCTTCGACAAAGATTAGTACAATTTCTGCTGGCACCCTGTTTGTCAACAGCACCGGTGGCGGTTGTTGTTAACCCGGGCCTCGACCAATCAAGATTTAACAAGTAAAGGCAAACCCAATCTAAGAAGTACATCAAAATATAAAAGTGAAAACTAGATGATTCTAACCTTTATAGCTTCATAATTTGGATTTATTACTATTTAAATCTCACCTTCTGCACTTTGAAAATTAAAGGAAGATGGCCAACAAAAAGACGATTTAAAATAAATTGAGACGAGAGGAATGGGACTGCAAACAAACACCATTTATAGAGAAAATGTAGTGGGAAGGATGTGACCAGACATTAATTTTTCACAGTCAAGCTTTAAAAAAACAACACAACTCATACTAGAAGACAAAGCTGGAGATTTTGTGGAAATGTAGTAAACCTTCATATTTTTTTGGGTGGCCATTTTATGGCTCTGTTTATGATTTACAGCAAGACAATTACTCCGAAATTATTTTACTGGTATCTAAAACAAGTCAAGACCCTAAATGAATTAATACTTTTCAGTTCTAGTACATAATGAAAGGAATATAAATAGTTCAAGTATCAAACAGATTCATGTGCGCCACCCATGAAGTATTTAAAGTCAGATTTACCGCAAAGAAAAGGACAAAAAGGAGGAAAAAAGTTGTGCAGCTCTTTGTTATCATGGTTTCTAATGTTACAATATCAAACTAGAATAGATTACAAATGTTTCTTTTTCACATAATAATTCCATCCTGAAAATTTCCATAAAATTTCAGGACAAATCATCAGGAATTGTTTTACCAGTACTTTCTTCCCTGTTGCTCAAAGATTCATTTTGTAACCTTACAGCTCTGTGGTCCATGAATGATGCATGTTAAAGCCACTGTCTTTATGACATTTTTATTTTAACCCCCTGACTGAGTCAACCGTCGGTCTGGTTTAAATAAAATGTATTAAATGCAAGACAACTGAAACCTTAACTTTATGCTCTGAGCAGATTATACCTTCATTTTTTAATTACCGTATTTTTCGCCCAATAATTCACAGTTTTTTGCATAATTTGCATGCCCTGCAACTTATACGCCAAAACAACATATTTATGGATTTTTTCCCATATTTAAACCAATTTGTGACTGAGATCTGACCGTTTTCATTCATTCTGACTGAAAATATCGAACACTACCATTTTCAGCCACTATATGACAGTCTAGCAGTATGGCATGCCGTTGTGTCATGTAATAGGTAAAAGTGGCTATTAATGACACAATCGGCTTGCCATAGCCTGCGACCGTCGTTTGGCAAAACCGTCAAATCAGCTTCATTTCGTTGCGCCGTCCCGGCGAAATGAAGCTGATTTGACCATTGAAGTCCTTTTATTAAGTAAAAGTTCATCTGAGACACATCTTTACTGTAAAGTCGAGCAAACAAATACCGATAATTGTTTTAGTTGCTTATATTGTTAAATTTAGAAGAAATGCACAGCGAGTTGCCCTCTGCGCATTCATATTTCTGCGTATCGGCTTTTGAAATGCAGCGGATTTAACCTTCAAAGTGCATTTATTAATGAAAAGTTAGACTGAGATACACCTTTATTATAATATCGAACAAACAAATAATTGTTTTTAAGTGTTAATCTTGTTAAATTCTTGTTAAAGTCCTCTCGTGCACGCCCCCGCAGATGCCATTTCGCAGCCAATCGATTTTTGGCACAACACATTGTGCACATTCCGAGTTGTCAGAGGTGACACCTAATAAATGTGTCGTATACGATGAAACTATGTATTAATGGATTTTTCCACTTTATTAGACATATTTGGACTGATGCGACTTATAGGGCGGTGCTCCGTTTACGGCAGAAAATACGGTATGCAGGATGTTTTGTCGTTAGTGATGCAAACTAAGAAACTCCTCGAAGTTTTACTTCCTGAATACGTACCTGAGAGACAGATTTGAGTTTTCTGCTTGAATATTTCCAGATTCCAATTCATTTGCTGCAAAGCCCCCCCTTCCAGTGATTAATGTTTTGCTGTCTTGAATTTTTCCAGATATGCTGTGGTAGAAAACTGAAAGTGCTTGAACATAGTTTGTGCATGCACGTTCATGACGTTCATAAATGGAACATCCACTCGAAGCATCTGCTCATCTGAGAACCAAAATGCAGGTTAGAATGCAGGAAACCTAAATAAAAGGTAAATTTGAATTAAACCAAAAAGCTGTCGAGGCAAGACAAACTAAACATGGCAAATGGTCCAAAAGTGACCGACAGGGAGCAGTGCACAGGAACAGAGGCTAAATCAGTCTCCTAGTGATCCGAGCATCACAGGTCTCTCTTGTAAATGAGTCCTTGTGACTTAATGAGACTGACCTGTATAAATAAAGGTTGAATGAATAAATACACTGAACAAAAGGGGCTTTAATCAATAGATGAGGAGCAGGTGTGCAAGGGGAGCTGCTAAAAGGAAGAAGTGAAGGAAGATTACATGGGAATAATGGATCACTGAAAATATAATGGAATTCTTTGAGAAACAACAATAAAAATGGCTTAAATTATTAAAAACAGTTACAAATAACTCACACCAACACAACCATTATCAGATGCATATTTACCAGTTTTTCCTTCAATCTAATATCTCAAGATTTATATAAAAATAATAACCAAATGCACTAAATTATATTAATTTGCAAATAAACAGTCATTTAGAAGGAGCAAACCACAGTTATTTCCATTGTATAATTTCTGCATCTGTTGCACTGGATTAAGATTCAGCTTTAAAAACAAAATATGTTAATAGGACAGGATCCTGCTTTTTGAGTTATGATCACGGCGGCTTTCATAGAATCATAACACACTAGAAAAGGACATTAGTGTTGCTTTTGTCTAAATTTGGTCGAGCAGAGATGTAATCTCATGCATCCCAAATCTAGTTACTGGAAGGATTGAGCTGTAATCCCACCAGACAGACTTTCTGTGCACCAGATCGATAGCAGAAACTGAAATTGGTTTGTTTTTTTAAAATCAAAAGCAGCAGGATGAAAATAAAACCACAGCATGAAGCTGATCACATCATCCGGAGGCAGGTTAAAGCACGTGACTGCTAAGCTACAGCTCTTCTGCGTGCGACACGTTTTAGGTTTGAAAAAATAACTTCAGCCTCTCGGAGCAACTAGCACAAGCTTCCCGCAGCTTTCCAGAACACTAATTAATTAAAAAATGTCTTGTTTTTTTTTTTACTGCAGCATTAAAAACTGCATACTGCACAATTTTTCCCCGTGTTCCTGCATTCCAGAAATGTGCGGACACTAATTGTGTTTTCATGTTTGCTTTAAACTGTAAACAAATGAGCATGTGCTGGTGAAAATACAGTTAATTAAGTCGGCCCATAAGCCGTCCCTGAAGGAAGAATGTGAACAAAATAAATTAGGCACGACTCAGCATTACAGTATTCACTCTATTTATACAAGAGTATTTTGTCCATAGGACCAAATCGAGATATTTACTGCAACAAAGAGAATTGGAAAATACATTTTCATAGTTTTAGCCTTTTCTTAATCCAGATGTTTTTGGTGTATTTGTCCAAGAAGTTTAGTTTAGAGTTCCCTAAGTTTCATTGATAATATGCAGTTTATCTTCAACTTATTTAAAAGTTGTTTCTTTTCAATTAACAACGTTGACGGGCCGAGTGGAGATTATCGAAGGGCTCCTTTCGACTCTCCGTCCATATGTTGGTCATGTCTGATTAATACCAGTCTGAAAAAACGACCGTCCTGTAAGAGCCAGTACATGTTTGATGGTTTTTGTAGAAAGTTTTTTTTTTTAATGTTTGTGACAATATCATGCAGTTGTTTGTGAGATGGAGTTACCTTTACTGTTATTGGCAGCCTCCTCTTCCTCTTTCAGCCTCGTCACACACTCCAGCTGGTCCTTCTCCACCTCCAGCAGGAAGTTGCAAGTTGGATGTCGACCGTTAACCTGAAGTGGAAGCAGCAGAAATAAGCTTAAGTTCAGGCTGCCAAATAAAACGTTCTCTGTTGGGAAGAAATATAAAAAAACACTTTAATTTTGTACGTTTTAAAATAATCTAGTCATCGTTATCAACCACTGCCATAAAAAATGGGTGATCATTTAACTGTATCCGCACTTGTTTATCTGTTAGCAAAATATCTTATAATCCACTGGACAGATTTGAATAAATATGTCTAAGAGTCAACCTGATTCAAGATGGCCACGGCAGCTAATCAATGTTAAACATAAAAATGTCTACAACTCAGATGTTTTACAGATGTTGAGCTAAGATTAGGTGTGGTAGTAGCTGAGAGTCATCCCAAACACACACTCATAATACTAATAAATTATAAAGGTATTTGTTAAAGTCTTTGCCTTGAAAGGCAGCAGTGATTCACGTTCCTTAAAGGAATGCTAACTTAATTTTTATTAGTTTTATCATCAGTTTTCTGTATTTCCTGTCACAAATACTTTTCCATGCGTGATCCATCACATCAAATCAGAGATTAAATCAGATATATCCAAGATAAACTAGGCATATTTTCATAATTCTAGCTTTTAAAGCTACATTTTGATCCCTAGATCATTCTGATATTGTGAACGGTTCCAGCAATATAGCTTGATTTGTCTCTAATTGCACTGGAAAAATTAATTTAAATCCTCATTTTAGCATTTGCTAATAAGATTTATTGATTTCATTCAAAGGAAGATTCCTCAAAACAGTATTTTATTTATTGAAAGTAGCAAAAATTTAAGGATTTTTTGCTCAAAGTCATTATCAGTTGTTGGAACTGCTCAGAAAAGTTTGTCAGTGCTACTGTATTTTGGACATTTCATTGAAGGGACCCATCAGATTACAGAATACATGAGCAGACAGAAGCATCTAGTTACGTGTAGTCCAGTGCTCCATAAAACCAGTGGCGGCTTATCAATGGGGGTGCTAGGGCGCTGCCCCACCGTTCACACTACTCACCATATTACAATGAAGACTTAAAAAAATTAAATCAAAATGAAATAATAAAAATATTTCCAAATATATGTATACAATTTTTAGTTGTGTAAGATAATTTTTTTTATAGTTAATGATGAGTTAAGTTGTTTCTTTCAAAAATGTTGTTTCTAATTGGTGATGTATTTCCGCTCTGGGGGTGCAAGAATCTTAGCCCATAGACTGTCGTTAAAAGTTGTACATGCACAGTTAGCTCCTCTTCATTACAAGAGATAGGAAGATTCTGGGCGCACCACTCCAGCGCCCTGAGTACCAGCGCACTGTACGCATTGTGCTTCTGGTCCTGCTGTCCCTGTACAGATTTATTTATTTATTGATTAATTTTGTCCCGGTACAGATTGTGCAGTGACATTCACAACCAGGCTATGTATGACATATTAGTTAGCTGTCAGACAGCAGCGCATTTAAAAGAGGCGCAGCATTAATTTTGATCAGGCAGATAGTTGGGAGGCCCACTGCATTCGGCGCTGGGTTTGTTTATGCTGGCTGGGGTCCTGTGTAGAAAGGAGAGAGGACTGGTCTGGGGGCGATATGGAAAATTCTAACAGCAGTTATCATTAATGTGTCTTATTTACTGTGTTTACACAGGTACGGAATGAGTTAATAAAGTGCGCAGACGGGAGCATGAGTGAGCGAACCGACGAGCCTGTGATGCGTGCGTGTGTGTGTGGACTGTCTTGAACATATATATTTTGGTATATGTCTATTTTGGAGTTATAGCCCCCCACCCCCGTGGAAATTCCACTAGGCGCCACCGGTTTACATTTTTGACATGTAAAGCAGAGGGTGTTATGGATGCTTTAAGGAAAACTAGGCCTTTAATTTTAGCCAAATTATTAAATCTCTGATTAGTATTTTGCATCCATGTTTGCAACAACACCTCCATCACACGGGTCCATCACCCTATTGTGAAATTGATGATGGTGTAATAATCCATAAAATTGCATTTACTGGAACCACTATGAAATTTAAATAGCTACAAGTTAGATAATAAATCTTCATAACCTTTCCAAAGAACCCACTTCAAATGTCCATATTATTCCTTTTAGTGATCCTGTACTGCAACAAACAAAGCTGCGTCTGTCTCATCTTCAAATGTCACTGCAGTGCGGTGACCTGTTGGCTCCTGCCACAAATTGGCCTTTATCTCCTTGACTCAGTTAATGCACCGTGACGACTGCCCTTGCTGAAAGGGCTAACAAGCTCGCAATATCTGAAAACGCACTAAATGAGTTGAGTGTTTGTTAATGGGGCTTGTGTAAACAAAAGTTGCAGACAGTGCCTGGCTTAACATTATATTTCATAAAATAACCCATCCCTGACCACCAGCTCCTGAAGTTATTCAAACAAACCTGCTGACTTGGCTTTGTAGTTGATATTAAGGCAGGAGAATTCAACCCCTCCCCCACAAATGGCCTGACTCACAAAGCCCCAAAGCCGGAGCCCTAAATGGGCAGTAACATGCTGATCTGAGCTGTTGTCTCTCCCGCTTTGCTGCAAATTTGATTTGGCTGTGACTGTCTTTATTTCCCCCAGGGCTGCGCTGCTATCACAGCGAGGCACGAAGGTGAGCCATCTTGCTGAACGAAAATGCTCCCATAGATGCGCAAGTATGTGAGGAACTGCCTTCTGGGACCAGTGCTGGCTAATGGATTTCTGATTGACTGGGTAAAGCAAGGCAGACAGGTGAAGAAGTAAAGATGGGGAGTACAGAGAGGTGACGGGGGTTGTCCGTTTGTTTTTCTGAGCACTAAAGCACATGATGTTTGTGCATGCTCATCAGCCTTTAGTGGACAGTGTATGTGTGTATGTTTCTGCCCTAATGAAGGCTGCTTGCAGTGTAATAAGAGATGTGGTCTGATAATGGAGGAGGTAATTACTGCTGAGTCCAGCAGCCAGTGGTTAGGAATTACATTATTGATTGACCAGATTCAGCATCATGACAGGCAACAGGAGGAACACAAAATTAGAGACGGAAAACCTAAACTTGTAAAATAAACAGTTTGTCTCTGGCTTCGGAGACGAGGTGTGCAGGTGAGTGGAGTGAAAACTTCACGCACAGCTGAGCAGCTTCCCTCAGAGAGGAACATCTGCAGGCATGTGAGCATGTAGCGAACTAAAACACTCACTGGGGAGGCTAACTTCTGGATGGTTGCTTTGCCAGATGTGGCCAAATATAAAAACAATGCAAGAGCAGTTTTCCAGCATGATGCTAAAATAAGAAAGAAAATCAGAATACCCTAAAATACTAGAGTTGATAGATGACATTTAAAGAACTAAACTTAACATAAGTTTCTCCTCTGCTTTGAACAGGGAAAAAGTTTGACTGAAGTTATGGTGAAAACAAGATTTTATTGTTGAAACCCTGAAAAAAAAACCTACTGCAGTGGTCCTCCATACAAAATTTAGCGCAGTCTCAAACAATTGTTTCTCAAGCAAAGGTAGAATATAGGAGTCACATTAATTTGTGTCATGCACTCCTTAAGACCCTCTGTTAAAAAAAATGTAATGACTGAGATCTTCATAAAAAATAGAAATGAATAATGAATGGATGATTGGATTTTGAAGATGTTCATTATCACGACCGTCCCTAAATATACAAGAGAAAATGTTTTTAACCCTCGATACAAAGAATAAAAACCTCGAGTTCCTTCTAAAATTCTGTTTTTTTAGTAACAACTGTGCTGATTTTGTTGTTTGTTTCAAACTCCTTCCTCTCCATCAGTTGCTTTATTTTTTCTATTATTCTTTTTTTAATAAGCCAGCCTATGAAAACTACTGGCTAATATATTGTGTAATAATAGAGGTCAGATATATATTTTTGACTGATGCAAAGATTTTTGGCTAAAATGTGTTTTACATTTAACAAAATATAAAAGTAATTGCTTAACTGAAATTAAAAGTACATTTCATACCTGTGGCAGACCTTGCACAGGCCTTTAGTGTTGTCCTTCTGGAATAAATTCACCTTTACAGAACAATTTTATTACACAGAAACAGTTTAACAGGGCCTTGCATGACAGATACATTTTAAACTTATAAAGCAACAAATGTAATTAAAACAGTCAGTCAGCAATTAAGTCTTTGTTTTTCTTTTTTTTACTTCTATCACATTTGTAATAATTTCATACCCAGAGTAGAAACCGAGACTAAGAGACACAGGCAGGTAAAAAGTAAATGGTTCATTTACAGGTGAAAGGTACTGAAACACAGGAGGGAGCTGTAGGAGAGGAGACCTGGTGAGTATAGTCCTGTGGGGACTGGATTGTTATTTAGCAACAGTTTTCTTTGGCTTGCTTGTTTGCAGTGGCTTTAGCTCAAACACCACCTAAATTTTAACTCAATGTTCTCGAAAAATAAAGAAACCATCATTTGGATTTTGTAATGAAGCTCAGTTCTCAAACCTTAGATTCACCAAAACATTGAATAAATGTGGATTAAAAATGGAATAAATGATTATAGTCTTAAATGGGACAGTAAAATTTATGATTTTTTTTTTTTTTTTGCACAAGTCGGATCCTCAATGCCATCTGTCAATCAATCCAGCAGGCTTGTCAGCAACTGACCAATCGGCAATCTCAATTTGTGCTGAGGTGTACGCCCCCTTACCTGCAGGAGCTCCGCCCCCTTCTTCTCCGACAATATTGTCGTGATTTGCATTTCGAACGAATTACGGAGGGATTTCATGAAAAATCATCTGAAAAAACGGTAAAATGTTGTCAGTGGGGAACATGTAATTCAGACAGTTACCCTGAGCATCTAGAGGATGGAATACAGTTTATTCAATTTCCAAAAACTAAACAAGGTCTGGAAAAATATAAAAGATGGATAAAACCCTGTGGCTGACCTCATGAACAGCTGAATACACCAGTGATAAAAAGGAAGTATCACATGTTCACCTGTGCAAAGGTAACTGCAAATAAATCCTCCATGTTCTGTCATAATTACACTGTAATGGTCAAATTAAAAGTTAATGCTTAAAGCTAGTTGTGCTTTGTTTTGTGTCTTTTATAT